TTGTAAGGAACTGTGAAAACGCTAGATATTATACAAGATTTTGGTTATGGTAGTAGGATTTCCTTGGAAAGACAAATGTACCCAAATGTAGCAAGACAGTTGCATGAAGCCCTAGTGCGGGAAATAGCTTTCTACGGAGATGAGCAAAGACTGAGCCATGTGGGGAATGGCCTGGTCTTCAGATCAGGAATTTCACAGCTGTGCTCCAGCAGCTTGAGCCGTATAAATGAATCAGCTGTACAGCCAAACCGCAGAATGACACCAGCTTCCCTAAAAGAGTCTATATATAAAAATGCTAGACTTGTATATTTCTGTTTATAAATACTTGATAATAACAGACCGCAAAGTGGCAAGGTTTTCTCAGCACAAAGCTCCTAAAAAAAGTACTTGTTCTATCTTTCTTTTCCTCCTGAGCTGTATTAAAACAGTCTTTTGCACCTCTAGATGTAACGTGCTACCTTAATGTAGGCATGTGACCAGAACATTTTATGGGGAAAAGCTAGCCAGGATGAAACTCCTCTGAAGAGAGTTGATTGAAAATGCTGACCCTTGCTAGCTGTAGCTGAAGGCATCACACTCTCTGGGAACTGCACTGTTATTCTGTAGATACTTGCATTTAGGTTAGTTTTCTAAGGTTAGACAGCACATGTTATTGCTCTTTGAATCCTTTATCCAGCTTCAGCTGTGTTTTCTGAGGGATTGTATTCTCAAAGAGTCTGGATTCATAGAAAAATAAGGAAAATTGGTAGCTGGTGGTGTGTGCAGGTGGAAGATTCAAAGCTTTGTCTCCTGGAGGATGAGTCAGGAGGGTCCTTATCTGCGTTGATGGAGAGGGAGGAGTTTACCAGTTATAGCTGTGAGCCAGCCCCAAGATGTACCACATCTTGCCCAGCCAAACTAGTCATGTGTGATGGTGGGAGCAGAGGATGTGAAGGAGGGAGACAAGGGCTGGAGCGTGGTAGGTAAAGAGCCTGAGGTGAGAGCTGAAGTGGCAGCGCTGGTATGTGTGTGTTTGCAAGCCTGTGCCTGTTAGCGATGTGGGGGACATACCCCCAGAAAAACAAGTGTAGCTCATGGAACGTCTTCCTTTCAGATGGCTTTAGCCATTGAATGCAATGAATTTGCAGGTAGGTGTAAGCTTTTTAAACACATCAAACCTCATTTCCTGCATTTTACTCTTTCTGAGTCTGGTAAAGTTCTGGGTTTATTTGCTGGAAATTTGTCCAGTTCCTGTTGCCATTCAAGCTTCCCACCTCTGTTGCATAAGTAGAAAGACTGTGATATAGCAAAACCTGAATTAGATCTAATATAAAATAGGTCATTTACCTGATAGTCCTTCTATCTGGTCCTTCTGTCCCTGAAAGAAAGGACTATAATCATTTCAGAATTCATAAAGTCAGATTCTCAGGATGCAGTGCAGTGGCTCCAGAAAACCAAACCAGTGGTTTCTTTCCCCAGATGCATCGATCTAGTGTCGATGGAGATGTTTCTTTCATTTGACAGAGAACATGCAGCACCACAAGGCTGTAGCTAACTTTAGTTCCTTAGCAGCCTTTCATGCTCATAGCTGACAGGATTGCTCAAGAGCAATGGGACACTCATTCATGCGATGGGGAGCTACCGTGACCTTTGCAACGACTATCTTGATCAGGATATAAGAAACATAAAGAGGATCCTAGGTATAAATTTGAGGCTTTGTGGGTTTTTTTTTTTTTTTTGATTTAGTTTGCTCAGTGGAGTTGCTGTGATGTGGTGGCTATTACCTGCACAAACGAATGGGTGCAACACAAACATATGACACATCCCCCAAAGTTGCAATATGTTAACAGATGTCAGCAAGCTATATGTTTTTTCTCTGTGTAGAAGATGACAACATGGTCTTAATAAACCATTAAATTTTCATCTCCTATGCAATATTTTTGAGGTCTCCAGTATAACTGAGGCTGTTATCAGCTAAATAAATAGATCATGATTTATGTTAGAGTTTTATTAATAAATGATATATGAAAGGTTTGCACATTGTGGCTATGGTAAACAGCTATGTTGGCTTTATTAGTCATTATTTGGTTTATGACAACACCACCACGAAGCTCTGCCTTCAGACTAGGCCCTGGTGCTCCAGACGTGGGCTGCTCAGCTGAGGTTTACCAAGACTGTGGGGCATTTTACTGAGGTCTGCTAGCAGGGACTTGTGTGTTGACTCCAGCTCTGTCAGGTCAGTCAGACACCACACACTGCTGTCATGTGCTGGCAGTTGGAGGTGGATGGCAACTGGGCCCTGATTGATAGATCAAGGAACCATAAGAACTCCAGAGCTGCATGCAGGAAATATCACCTGGGTGATATCACAAGACCCAGGAAATGAGATGCTGATGGTCCAATTCCAACTGAAGTTCTCCACTCAGTAACCCTGTTGTAGACAGGCTGAGGTCAACATTACCACACTTCATAGCTCATTTCTTACCCTTTATTTTCCTGAGGCTAGATGTCGTAATCTGTTTACATCTCTCAATTCTTTATATTCGCTTATGAAGAGACCCTTAATGTAAATTGTTACAGTGAGGTGAATGTTATGGAAGGGATGACAAACTAACACATTTGTGATTCACCAGTGATGTGGGAAATCACAAAAGAAGAAAATTCTGCCATATTGTCCATAAGGAAACTTACCTAAGACAATATATATGAAGACTGAGATTATTTAGATGGCAAATAAGCTACAAGATATTTTTTTATTCCTCAACAAGAATATTTTATATTAGATAACGTAAAATAGTCATGTGAAAATATGAGTGTATGAAAACTACAGTTCGTCACAAAAAGGGAAATGTAGTCATATATTTAGCAGTCATTTCCCCTTTTTTGGGAAACTCATATACATTTTTTTTCTCTCTCTCTTGCTCTCGTTCTCTTTGTATCACTGCTGCTCTACGGAAGGAAAGAAAGGTGGGTCTAAAATGTCATTTGGTTCTGACACAAACCTGATTGGGCAACACGACACAAATTTCCGTTTTGTATTGAGTTAAACTCTATATAAACTCCTTGGTAGCAATTTTTGATCTTATAGCTTTTCAGGAGAAACCAGTGCTGGAAGAACACAGACCCACAGGTAAGTGAATCTGATGGAAATGAAGTCCAACCTTAAAGCCTCAAATTGGATAGAGGCTTGTGGAGGCTGCTAGAGACCAGGCTGAAGGGACTTGAAAGATCTGAACAACATAGCCAGGTGCTTTCATAGGGCAAATTATCTAAAGAAAAAGTGCTCCATTGCAGGTTAGCATTTGAACCATGAGGCTTATTAATGCAGCAAGCAAAGGCATCAGCTCCATCCCAGTTCTCTGGAAACACTTGTAGACCTAGCAGAAGGGGAAAAGACCTGTTGCTGTGAAAAAGTAGATAGCTGTTGAGATGTTGATAGAGAGCTATGAAAACAGTAGATATAGTATGAAACTAAGATAGCTGTTAGTTTTGTGTTACTGTAAAGAAGACAATAATCTGGAAATATTTTATTATAGTCAGACTGTTAAATGTCAGCTAAATTTAGTCACTGGACTAGGGAGAAACGATGAATAAATATACATTATATATACAAGTGGTGTGGATGCACAGAAGATGCGTATAATTGTATGTATCTATGAATGCATGTGAGTGAATGTGAATGCATTCATGCTGTGAGAAAAACATTTCTGCTTTTCGGTACAGTTTGATGTAGTTCTCTAGTTGTTTTATAATTGTCCTACAGGACATTGACAGTGTTAGGCTAATGTTCAAAGTATATAATTTATATTTTTGAATATGACTTGTATAGCTACAGCAAGTAGAAAGACCATATGTCATATGTCTGTGTATTGCATAATATCTATAGGTGTATGTATCATGTGCTGATATGTATATAAATACTTTATATATAGGGCATAAACTGATGCCCACATGTAGCATGTTTTATGCATATTTGCACGCTGTACTCTCAGATGACGTATAAACACATGCTACGATACTTTTGCACTTGCTATATATTAAATCTCTATTGCTACACACCATGTGCACAGGACTTACTCTTGTGAAAGTGGAGTTAGTTACAGCACCTGAAATCTTGTGGCAGAGCAGAAAGTATTCAGTGATGTGTGCAGGGGCTGTCCTGTGCGTGCTAAGCCAATACAGATGATGGTTAATGTGTGATTGGCAGTGGATAAATTTTTCCCTTGTGTCTCTGAGTCAGATTTTAGGATTAGTTGTTCAGGATTTTCCTTCTCTTTTTACTTACATAGATGGTAATAGCATCCACATTGAAAACTCCCTTGTGTATGAGCAACAGGACGAGTATATATATACCAATGGAGGCAAAGCATTCTGACCCAGGGGAAAATCTGAAAAGGCTTTGATAGCCTGGCTCTGGCTATGAGTAAATATGCCTGTAGCCTGAGCTATGCTAATTTATCTACTTTGGGAGTGGGAAAGGTAAAGCAAAACAGCCTTTAGTGAGGGCTGTACAACCTTGAGAGCGACCTGAAGTGACTGCATAGGGTGCTACAGTTTGTTCTGCTGCAACTTGGCTCCTGTGGTTACCCAAACTTGCTGTGCTGCAGCTAACTCAAATCTGATGGTCTGAGTCTCAGTCAGATCTTATTGCAAATTAAGCAGAGCTATATTTTTCCCCCGCTAGCTGTTGCACCAAAAAGCTGTGGGGACAGCAGCATCTTGTTGTATGTTGTTGGCATCTCCTGGAGTGAAAGGAATGTGACAGAACTGATGTGTCTGTGCCAAGCCAGATGCTCTGCTCCCACAAGTCAGCCTGCATGAATGAGAGATGAAGAAGGCCTTCTGCTCGCCAAGGGTGAACGAAAGCTCACCAGGTTCTGCAGTTAGGAAAAGAGCAGTTAACTCCTAATGTTGTAAAAACTATTACAATACACGAGTTAATGTTTAATTGTGCCTTATGTCTTAAAATAAACTTTGCTGCAGAATTCAAGATGCTTTCCCCCAGTGTTCTCCCTATTTCCTCCGTGAAAATGTGTGGGCTCTTTGTCCTGGTTGTCTGTGCTATGGGTGTCTCCGCTTTCAGGATCCAGCAAGTGGAAAGCACAGGTAAGGATAGGCTCCATTCTTCTGACTCTCTCTCCCTCCTTTTTAATGTGACAGACTAATAGTAATGTAAAAATGTCTCTGATTTATATAGAAAAATGCCCAGATCACACCGTGTATTTCAAACACTACTATGAACTGCATGGAGAACCTGTGGTTCTGAAATGCCCTTCCCCTCTATACAAACACCTGGATTTTTCTGCCTTGACCCTTAATATCACATGGTATAAAAATGATTCAAAAACCCTGATATCAGGAAGAGAGGAAGATGCAAGAATTTGGGCAAAAGGAGATGCACTCTGGTTTTTACCAGCAATGTTAGAAGACTCAGGAGTGTATATCTGCACCAGAAGGTAGGTATCGAAAAGAAAATCCAGTCTACTAATAAGATGGCTGTATCTGAAATGCATCCTTAGTCTGATTCTAAGATCCAGTTATCTTATGTACAAGGTTGTCTTGCAGCAGGTTAAGAAAGATAATTTCCTTACCAAATTTAGAAAAAATGCAGAAAGTTAGAACTGTTAAATGCATTTTGTGTCCCCTAAATATATTACCATTTGTATAAGTCTTGACCAAATATTACCATTCTGACTGCAGTATCATACAGAGGTAATAGCATATATAATATTTTGTTCTGATATATTTATTATTCAGTTGGGGTTACATCAAGCAGATATACTGTAGAAACAATTCTATAGGATGCAACCCTTATCTGACAATTTTAGAGAGGAAAATAGTATCATTCTCACTTCAGATTGCATTATGAAGCACATGCCAGGGCACTGTGTCTTTAAAGTGGTTTGCCACTTTCCTGTTCTTTTTCCCTGATCTTAGTTTTTCTTTCAGTTTACATTTAAAAACATAATTAACAGAATTCACTTGCTTTGATTTTGCTCTAATATCTCATGAGATACGATAACTAATGTGTTTACTAGAAAGGTACTTGTGATACTACAGTAGGGTGAAACTTGACTCATGACTTTTCTGAGCTTTCCTGGTCATTTTTGAGGTTTTACAGTCTGCCAGCCTGCCTTGTTTCAAAAGAGGAACTGGAATCTGCAATCTGCATTTGTGGAGGACTGAGTAAGAAGGAAATAACAGTTGTTGTTAGGGTCTGAATTTTGAAACATCCTTACTTTGGAAGGCTTCTTGTGTCCTTGTCCCCTGTCAACTCTGCTTTGCATTTGGCCTTCCAGTACTTGTCTGGGAACTGGCCCCTTGTTGTTCTGGGGTTTGTGGTGTAACACTTACTTATCTTGGTATCTGGAGCTGCCTCTATAGAGCACTGTTTCCCTGCTGGCAAGGCATATCTCATGAATGAGATGTGTCCGTAGTAGATGAATTGGGCAGGTAAAACTCATGCTAATAAATTATGCTCTGCATAAGAAGTTGGTCCTTCTGCATGTCTTAGCAGAGTTTACAGTGGTGGAGCAGAAGAGAAGACACTGATAGTGAGGCTGGAATAATGAAAGAGTATGGAGTGACTACCTGAGACTTTGAAGGGTTGGTTTTTATTTTTTGAGCATTCTGCTTCATTTCCTCAACAACGCTGCTTTTTTCAACACTCTTTAAAAAGAGCTTAGAGACAAACTTTGCAGATTTCTGCTTCAGTTGAGTAAATATTTTGGATTTAGGAACCCACACTGCACTTGTTGACCCAGTGGAGTGCCTCCACCATGGTTCGAGTCCATCTGCCTACAGCATGGAGAAGCGCTCCAGCCAGTCTCAGCCCTGGACACATAGGCCCCCACTTCAGGGACCCTTGGCAGAAGTCAAACACTGCCATGCGTGTTTGACAGCTGTTTCTCAGAGGGACGCTCTCAGAGGTCGGAAAGGATAGGTCTACCCCTCTAAATGGTCTATGCTGATGTTGTTACTGCAGCAGTTAAACAGAAGGAGAAGGTTGTTTCTCCTCAGGGTAGGC